ACATAATTTTTTTCTTAGAATCATTGCCAGAATTCCTATCTTCATCCCAGTGCCGGTGAAGACAAAGATAAAACCAAACTACCGCTTCTTCGATAGTTATCACAACAAACTGTATAAACTGATGCATCAATGAATAATAACTCAACAAGTAATGCTCAATTAAGGAGTTGATTTACTTTGGGAGGAAATGGACATATTGACAGATTCCTCTGCTTTGAACTGCTTGCAGAACTTGCCTGGACTATGTATCACTTGTATGCATTGTGAACTATCTGTTGGTACAGCGAATTGTGGTAGTGCTGGAGTATTTTTGCTGATGATGTCACCGGTGGTACAGTTTTTCAAAGGAGCCCTCAATTGGCTTAGTGTCATGGCATTTTGCATCCTCCTCCCTTCTACTAGTGATGGTCTAAAATTTGGGGGCCAACAGAGGTGAGGCAAAGAACCTCACCCCCCCACTGGTGCAAAGGCCTATCCACAAGTATGGCTGTATGCTGGACCGGTAGTCAGTGACGGGTATGATCCAATTGCAGTGGTACCAACCTAAGACAGGAGGCTGACGCCTAGAGGTCAGTTCATCCGATGATGGGTAAGGACCATATGTTGAATTGGACTGCCTAACAGGCACGGTCCCTAAGCCACATTGCTTGTTGTTTAATTAAACAAAAAGGGGGAGATGCTGAGATCCACAGCCGAGTCTGTATGGCCCCTGGCATTTTGCCAACAGTATTGATTGACAGGCGAGGCATTACTATCCGCCTCTGCCGCAACTTTTGAGTTCTCACACTATTTTGGAGTTCTCGTGGGGATTTCCAGGGATTCCCCGAGAGTTCCCATTGGTTGGGGAAGTGCAGGAGGAGGGATTTCCGGGAGAGATATTTCCGGCTGGGGGTTCCTGGATGAGCTGCGTGGCGTTCGGGAGGATTCCCCAGGAGCTGTGTGAAGTGTTTTCCTGCAGTTCAAAAATAAAGTTTGTTCCTGCTTCAGTGGCTCGTGATTTGTGCCCAGCCAGACTGCGGCAGCTCTCCACTCATTATCAACCCTCATGAGTCTTCCACAGACACCTCTTTGGATGTTGTAACGTGTACCCTATATCATATGTTTATCAGCACAAGCTTTTACCTAGTCAACTTTCTTGAGATGTGATTTACATAAAATAACATTTTAACCGTGCAAATGATGATGGACTTTGATCCCTGGATACCAAGAAAGCACTTTCATCACTGGACCCTCCTCAGTCAATGCCCATCCCCTCCCACTGGCCCCAGGCAGGCACGGTTAAGGTTTTGTCACTGTGAATCAGAATGGTATTTTATAAAGGTTCATGTAAACGGACCCATTCCACATGTTCTCTTTTGGTCTGGCTTCTTTCACTCAGTCTAATGCTTTTAGAGCCATTTATATAGAGTGAAGCAATAGTTGATTCCTGTTTTGCTGGATATTATTTTATTGCATGATGGCTACACCACGACCTATTTGCTTATTAGTTGATGGATATTTAGGTTGTTTCCATTTATGAAGAATACAGCTGCAATGGAAACTTAAGTTTTGGTGTGGACAGAGGTCTTCATTCTCTTGGATAAATGCATTCGAACAAATTCCTGGGCTGTATGGTAGACCTATGTTTAACTTTATACCAAACCATCTAGCTGTTTTCCTGCATGGTCATACCATTGCAGTCAGCAATAGCTGTTAATGTCGATCTATGTTTTCATGTACATCAAATTCTCCAGCTTGTTGATGCTGCAGAACACTCCATGATGTGTGTATGCAACACTTATTATTATTATTATTATTATTATTATTATTATTATTATTATTATTTGTGTGTGTGTGGTACTGGGGATTTAACCCAGGGCTGCTCTACCACTCAGCTACATCCCCAGCCCTTTATTATTTTTGAGACAGGGTCTCACTAAGTTTCCTAGGCTGTCCTTGAACTTGCAATCCTCCTGCCTCAGCCTCCTGAGTTGCTGGGATCAAAGGTGTGTGCTACCTTACCCAACTGCATCCATCACAATTTATCTTCCAATTTGCAGATGAAATCTAGGTCATCTTCAATTCCCTGACACTATGAACTTTGCTTTAACAGACATTAAAAAATTACATATACACACACACACACACACACACACACACTGATCTATATTCCTACCACTTTTTGTTTTTTATTTTGAGACACGGTCTCACTAACTTGCCCATGCTGACCTTGAATTTGTAATCCTCCTGCCTCAACCTCCCAAGTTGCTGGGTTGACAGGTTTGCCCCACAGCCCCCAACTTAACAGACACCTATAAGATGTCTAAATGTATAACATTTCCCTAGGACACATGGGGATTTCTTTGGTATATATACTCAAAGTGGAACTTTGAATCAGAATAAAATGCTCACCTAAATTGGACTAAGTGTCATTAGATTCTTCCCCAAAGCATACCTCCCTCTCAGAGGAAGATCCTGGTGTCTGACACAATCATCATGTTTAGATTCTTTTTAAAGAAGAATACAGAATTAGGTACAAAAGTGAATAATGTATTTAGGAAAAAATGAGAATTCACGAGGTATTACTGGGCTCTCCCTAGGTAGTCTCCCTGAACTGCTTTCTTGCTAGAGGCTCCTGGCTACAATCTGGTTCTTCTCCCTACTTAGAGCATTCTTAAACTCCCAGCCACGGAGGAGCCCTGAACCCTCATGAGAGTCACAGTCCACGCAGCTCTGATCCACACTCCACCTGCAGTGTCTGACTATTCTTAGAATAATGTCATTTGATGTTATGACCAAATATTTGACAGTTTTCACGTTTCTAAAGTGTGCCAGTCTAGATCATCCTGACACCTGAGTTTGTGTGATTCCTGAGTTAACAATGGTTTGTATATTTTTTAGTTTCTTTTTTAAAATTTATATATGACAGCAGAATGCATGACAATTCTTATGACACATATAGAGCACAATTTTTCATATCTCTGGTTGTATACAAAGTATACTCACACCAATTCGTGTCTTCATACATGTATCTGGATAATAATAATCATCACGTTCCACCATCATTTCTAACCCCATGCCCCCTCCCTTCCCCTCCCACCCCTCAGCCCTATCTAGAGTTCGTCTATTCCTTCCATGTTCCCTATCCCTACCCCACTATGAATCAGCCTCCTTATATCCACGAAAACATTCAGCATTTTGTTATTTGGGATTGGCTTACTTCACTTAGCATTATCTTCCCTAACTCCATCCATTTACCTGCAAATGCCATGATTTTATTCTCTTTTATCACTGAGTAATATTCCATTGTGTATGGTTTGTACATTTTTAAGTAGTTGAAAAACATAAGAAAATAATAGTTAGTGATATGCATAAATTATATGAAATTCAAATTTCACTGTCTATTACTCAAGTTTTATTGGGATTAATTCTCAGCCTTTTGTTTATACACCGTCTATAGCTGCTTTGGTGCCACCACTGCACAGGTGAGACAGACAATATGGTCTGCAAACCCTGAAGCATGTCATCGGCCCTTGACAAAAAAAAAAAAATCTGACAATCTTCAGTCTATAGCATTAATTTTTCTTGGAGACATCAATCTTACTCCATGCCAGGAAGAAGGTATTTCTCTTGGTACATGTCTTGGAAATGATAGACATTGCCACTATTTTGCTAAAAGGCACTCGACTCTTTTCTGATCTCTCTGCCAGCCTTAGGTAGTAGCTAGCCATTATTACCATGTAATACTACATTTCACTCCCAAACTCAGAGGCTTAAAATAGTGATCCTTTACTGTCACTAAGTGTCAGCAGGTAGCAGGGGTTTGGCTGGCTTGCTCTTTGAGGCTGGCTTGGCCAGGGCAGCTCTCTCTCTCTGTGTCAATCTGTGGGCCATTGGAGAGGCTCTGCCCCATGCATCCTCTTCAGACACGGGCTTCTCTCACATTGACCGCAGAGGCACAGAAGGGCTACTGAGAACATCACTTGTTAGCGGCTGGGCTCAGAACTACTGTCCCTTGGGCCCTCTGGTGGGCAAAGCAGGTCATATGCAAAGACTCTAGTAAAAGGATAGTGAAATACATTCCTCCCGGGTGTGGATTCAAGCATGACTGAAGAATTGGGGTCAACATTGCAATCCACTGTACGTGGATTTAGAAATGTGGTGGTTGTCATGTTATTTTCTTTGCCATCAGGAGGATGCTACCTGTTCCTATTAAACATGCTCTGTTGAAGGCAAGGCTGTGGCTTTCTTGTTCATTGCATTCTGTGAATGCTGACAGTCTCTTTTCCATTGGTGACAGCCCCAGAGCTATCAAGGTACTTTCTTTTGCTTCTGTCCTTCCTTTTATATCCTTACAATGAGCCACCAACATATGGGACAGCTAAAGATGTCTGCTTTACTGAAAAGAACCCAAGGCACACAGAAGTCTCACTTCTTTTCAGTCTTACTTGGTGTTTCTCTCTTCATTAATCAGAATTAATTAATAATGACAACATTTGGGCCAGGAGCCGTGGTGCACGCTTGTAATCCCAGCAGCTCTAGAGCCTGAGGCAGGAGGATCGTGAGTTCAAAGTCAGCCTCAGCAAAAGTGAGGCTCTAAGCAACTCAGTAAGACCCTGTCTCTAAATAAAATACAAAACAGGGCTGGGGATGTGGCTCAGTGTTCAAGTGGCCCTGAGTTCAATCCCTGGTACCCAAAAGAACAAAACCATTTGTGCCCTTCTCATTCTTCTGAGCTGTATTATAAAACTCTTCAGAGGCTAAGTTGCCCTCTCGTTAACCTCCCTGCCCTCTCTCCTGGCCTGCCAGGAGAGTGTGATTGATCGCTTGCCTGGCCCGTCTGGTCTCTAATGACTGTTCCTTTTTTTGGTTCACTGATCATGGATCTGCCACACTCTTCAGGGCAATAAATACCAGCCTGGACTGCCCAGAATGGAGACTTCTGCTTGCTCTGCCAGTCTAGAAGCTTCTATCCCTTCTGCAGCTCCTGCCACTCATGCAGCTCCTCTTCCTGTTTCTGTCATGGTGCTCCTGGCCCAGGGCGCCCGAGGTAATTAGGCTCTCTCCCAGGGGGTGTGTGTCGGGGACCTGATGCATATTCAGGGAACCTTGGGGGCTCTGAAAGCTGAGGCCCGGAGCATGGTCTAGCAGGCTCCGAGGAGGCTGTTGGACAGTCTCTTTAGTTAAGGGAAGTTTTCGTTCTTTGGCACCAAATAATTTTTCCATCTTTCATTATTTGACCCCCCTGACCACCTTTCTCTGATTGGCTCTGAATAAGTTGAACTTGATGACCCAGGGATATGGTTGGGGTCAAAGAGAGAGACGTAGGTATGGGGTATAGAGAACGTGCTGCTTTCCCAAAACATTCTTTCAGAGGATCTGAATTTTGATTTACTGTTGTCTCCATGAACAACATTCTAAGTTGTTGTCTCCTAAATTCTAAGTATTTGAAGATTCTGATTCTACTTTTTCATGCAGGTCCAAATTGTCCAGGCTACTTTAGGTTGTTGGTTTCTCCCAAAAGTGGTTCCTAATTCTCTTGACTGGTTAAGGCCAGTGAGAAGTCCCAGGATGTTGTAGAGAAGGGAGTGAGAAATTCTCGGGAGTTTTATGGATGTCAGAGAGGGCTTATATTTGTTCCACTGGGTTCGTCTCAGATTCCTGTTCCTTTTCATTAGTACAAGCAGCGGAGGTGCCAAAGGGCAGAGGGTGAATGTGGCTATTTGATATTAGGTAACTGGGAATCGTATAATATGGGGGAGATAAAACCCTGGAGAAAAGGGGTCCTCTTGCCTCTCCCAAGGGAGCTGTCCAAGGAGGGGAAGCCTGAGTGGAAAGGGATTGGAGAGGACAGAGTGGAGAAGGGACGGACCGGGGTCTATGATCTCACTTAAACCTTGGGATTTTCATATGGGCTTCTACCCCACAGATCTTATTTTTCTTGTTACAGGGGACAGATGAGGCAAGACACCATGAACATGAATCAGGTTTATTTGGCTATAGCCAGGTTCAGAGGGCAAAGATTTTGCTGTAATCAATAAATCCCCGCAAACCCCGAGATCAGGCAGTTTTAGAACTTTATACCTGGCTTGTAGGTGGAGGGGCTCAGAAGTTCACAGTCTGTAGAAGTTCACACAAAAGCAGCTTTTTCTTTCGCTATTCTGGGCAAGTTAACCCTTCAAGGACAGCGCTGGAGAGGGAGAGAGCTTCTTCTCCCCTTTCTTCCCTCCCACTGCCAGCTGTTACCACTGAGCCCAATTGGCAACCTCTTCTCCTCTTTGAAATGTAAACATCTCTGAAGCTCAGGTCCAAGGTCAGAGACCTAGTTAAAAGAATCTATTTTTCCTATCACTCTCTGGATTTGCAAACACAGTTCTGCAAACTACTACACTAGGAAAGGGGCCTTCAGCACCTGGGTGCTGATCTCTTCCAGAATGGCGGCCAAGTAAGACAGAGCGACAGGAAATAGGAAGTTTAATTACACTGAACTCTTTTGTAGAGACTCTTGGCTGATAGTCCGAAGATCAGTTATAGTGAAGGTTTTTGGAGAAGCTCAGAGAAGATTTTCTGAGGAGGAGTGGGTGCCGCTACCCCTCAGTGCTCTTTCCTGTCCTGGAATTTACCTTCTCCCTCTCCAACCCTTTGCTTTCTTCAGGACTAACCCTGCTCCCTCTTTCCCTTTGGCTTTCAGTCAAGAAGTGTTGGGGCACATTTGGCAGGTGCAGAGAGAACTGTAAAGAGAATGAAGTATTCTATCTATTGTGCAAAGAAGAGGGTAAGTGCTGTGTGGACCCCAAGTATGTCCGATTTAAACCGAAGACCTTAAAGAACCAGTTGGGAACCAAAAATTAACTTCTGCAGACTGACTCTCTTCCGACCTTGAGTCTCAGGAGCATTGGAAACCACAGTTCTATTAAATCATTCATGGCTGTTCCCTGTTTCTGATTGACAGTTCCATCTAGTTCAACTTGGAGACAGAGAAGGAAAATGTGTGCGTGTGTGTGTGTGTGTGTGTGTGTGTGTTGGGAAGAACAGGATGAAGCAGTACGTGGTAATAGCCTTATCCTTTGGCAATAATTCCCAACCTGCCAGCCCCTAGTTGGTCCACAGGATATTAATAAGGAATATTTATCATATTCATTTAATTCTTTTTTTTCTTCTAGACTAACACCCATAGAACCTTCTAAATGATGAAAATGTCCCAGGTTTGGTTGTCCAATATGATAGGTACTAGTCAGCTGCATGTAGCTACTGAGCACTTGAAATATGGTAGTATGACTGGGGGACTGAATTTTTAAGTTAATTTAATGTAATCTAAGTTTAAATATATAGCTACATGTGGTTAGAGTCTAGAGACGTTAGGCTGAGGCAGGCTGTAGACCCCAATCCCTGGGTATTTCAGGGGAGTCAAAGAGGCAAGCAAGAATCCAGGGTGAACACAGAACTAATTTAAAAAAATATTAATTTTTTTAGCTATAGGTGGACACAATATCTTCATTTTATTTTTATGTGGTGCTGAGGATCGAGCCCAGTGCCTCCCGCATGGTAGGCAGGCGCTCTACCTCTGAGCCCCAGCCCCAGCCCCAGCCCCAGAACTCATTCTTGGCCCGCTGCTTCTCTCTGCTTCTCCAACAACGGCCTCACTTTTCTCCTGATCATATGGGCAATTCTGCCCTCCAGGGACTCCAAAATCACGCCTCTGACACATCTCCTCACCTTGGAGGGAGCTGGGACCAGGTCCTGGGCTCCATCATTTTTTTTTCCTCTAGCTGGGTCACCAGACACTGGACCAGGATTGATCCTGAACTAAAAAAAAAATAATAAAACAGGGATTTGGCCACTTTTCACCCCATGATCTGGGTCATCATGGCCCCAGTATCTCCAACCTTTATCAGACCAACCAGAAAGAACAGGATTCCTCACCGTGGGCCAGGAAGTTTCATCCTGAACACCCCTCTCCTATCCAGTAAATGACATCCTCAATCCCTTTTATTTTGAGACAGGGGCTTACTAAGTTGCTGAGGCTGGCCTCAAACTTGTGATCCTCCTGCTTTAGCCTCCAACTTGTTGGGATTTCAGGCATGCACCACTGTATCCAGCTACCTACAGTTGTTGATAAATGCAAATTGAATCTAGGTTTATCCTTTCAGGCCCTATCCTAGCAGTTTTCTGCCTATAAAAAATTAAGATCCTCCTTCCTATTTTGCTTCCAACTCTTACTTTCCACAATCAATCCCTCTTAGAATTGAGCTGAGGGCCCTGACCCCACACTTTTCCTCTAATTATCTCACCCTCCTGACTCCATTTTGCCCCACCCGGCTTCCGGCTTCCATATCACAATCTGCTTTGTGGCCTCTCCCCTCGCTGCATGGTGTCAATCTCAAATTCCTAACCATGAAAGAATAGCCCCCCTTGCCTTCAAGTTGGGGGCCTCAACTCTGCCCGACCAGTCTCCTGCTTCTCCTTAAGCTTCATTTCTCACTTTCTGAAATGGCTATTCTATGATTTTCCCCTCTTCTCAATCTTCTATCACTCTCTCCCTCTAAAATATCACCAGAAGCAAATGCATATTCTCTTTACTAAGCCTATGCTCCCCTGCATCTGTCTGTAACTCCTGTCTCCCTTTTGTTTCCAACTAAAGAACGTCTATCCCGAGAAACAAGCCCACACCCCATCTCCCCTTCCTACTCCAGGACCTCTGTTGAACACTGACACTAAGAAAAGATCACCAACCCCAATGTTAAATCAAATTAAAGCAAGCTTGTATTTGTGTACACAAAGGCTGGCCAGCGACTGTCTCACCCGAAATCCCGGGCTAGAGATCAGTCCCCCAGCTTTCCAGGGACAGGGCTTTATAGCACAAAAAGTTGCAAAGGAGGGTGTCTTGAGAACTTACAGATAACAGGATTTTGACAAGCATAATATAAAGGCAGGTAGCAGGTTAATGATCTACATGGCTTGAATAGTTCAAGGTGGGGAGTAAATTCAGATCCCAACATCAGAATTTAGGAGGCACCGCTGAGGTTTCAGAGAGGGTTGTTTTCTGGTCAGGGGGAGCCAGGCATGGGTGAGTTCAAGGCACGGGCAGGAATTCCAAACAAGTTCAGAAATCACAGTAATTTATAGTAAAATAGAAATTAACTTTTCATGACTTTGTGATGAGATCTTAAAATGGAATTAGGCTGGGTCCACCACCTCACCTTCTATGATCCTCTTCATTTTTCTCTTCTGTGCCAGACCATTTCACTCATACCAAAACAAAACAAAAACAAAAACAAAACTAATACTCCCTCCTTTAAAACATCTCCCAATCCCACATTTTTCCCCGGACAGAGCCTCACTTCTTTGTAGACCTTCAAAGAAAACCTTAAAAGGCGTGTCTTTGCTTTATCCATTTTAAATTTCTCAATCATTTCTTCAGCTTGACCCAGCTGGGTTTCATGTGACACTGAAATTTCTTCCATGAAGCTTCCCAGCCGTCTCCGGCATTGCCAATCCCAGAAGGGTCCCTCGTTTTCCTCTAATTGATTCTGAGCAAGTGCTTGACGTGTGGACCACAATCTCCTCATTCAAATGCTTTCTTCTGTTGATTCTAAGGTACTACATCCTCCGTTTTGATATGTGGCTATTGCTTTTCAGCCTTCCCTCCCAAATGCCAGGCCTGTTTATATGTCTTTTCTTTTCTCTGCCTACTCCTTTTTTTTTAGTAGATACCTCGAGTACTCTCTATAGACCGATCACTTTCACATTCATATCTCCCCTGCCAAGCTATCACCCCTGGACGGGCGTATCTGCTCCCTGAATGACATCTCCATTTGGTGCCTCCTGACATAGCCAGAACGGAACTCCCGGTGGGGACCTCACCTCATCAAGCCTTGTTACCTCCTTTCTTCTTCCTGTCTTGATAAGTGGTACCAACACGGGCCCAGTTTCTCCAAACCTAGATGGCTTCCTGGACTCCTCACTTGGGCTCACTGAATTCAATCTATCAGCAAGTCCCGCGGCTCCATCTTTAAAAGACTTCTCAAACATCGACTTCTTTCCAACTAATTGACCCAGAGAAGGTTCGTCTGTCCTTTGGTAGCCATTCAAGAATTTATGGCAGCTCTACCCCATCCCGACGCCTGAGACTTTTGATGCTTTCCTCTTGTTTTCTCCCATCCCCTAAGGCCCCTTGACTCTTTCTCTGTTTTTGTGCAAGCCTTGCTGTTTGGGGGCTTCTCTGTCCCTCACTAGCATCCCCTCTCCTCCTTTCCTGTCCTGGCCTTCCCTGAGTTTTGCTGCTGTTCCCCTAATGTCCCTGCTAGGTGGTCCCTCTTTCTAGCCTTCAATCCTTTTGGAATTCAGCAACATTCCTGCAACATAGTTGACAATGAAACATCTTGACTTTTTATTGCTTGTGACATTAGAGTTCATCAGGGACCAACCTAAGCAGAAAGGATATTTCTTAGAAGGATATGGTGTGCCTCATAGAATTGACTGGAAGTCTAGATGATTGGAAGAACTGAGGGAGAGTGGGCAGAAGTATTAGCCTGAAGAGGTCCTATAGCAAGCTTTGCTACCTTGGCCCTGGGCACGGGCATCATCCCACCTGGGCTCTTGCCGTTGCTGCTGTACTTTCCCAGTTCCCCTGAGATTTGGGTTGAGCTCTTTGAGACTCAGTCCTTGGCTGGAACATCCCGTTGGCTGAGCCAGGAGCACACACTTGTTTGCTAACTCCCCGCAGAGAGTATTCACCTTCAGAGCTCCCTGTGGTGGAGGGTCAGCCCTCTCTTCCACCAAGACCCACAGAACAGAGAGTAACTCCTAGATGGAATGAGGCCAAGTGTCCAAAGACACAGCACGTGACCACTAGAGGGAATGTCACCCAGAGCCTTCGCCTTCCTGCAGAGTGTTTTCCCTCCCACTTTGACCCTTCTGATTGCCAAGAGAGGGGGTGCCTGGGATGCCACACACAAATGAGGCGCTCACTCTCAGGGTTGTGTCCTTAACTGTCACTCCTCAGGCAGTCTCACCTCCCCCTTATCCCGACCCTGCCAGCTGCATTCTGCACTTCTTGGCAGCACCCAGCCACCTGTACTTAATACCTGTCCAGGAGGGTGCAATGCTGAGCACCTTGCAGCTCCAGCTCCTCGGGAGGCTGAGGTGGGAGGATCACTGGAGCCCAGGAGTTGGAGACCAGACTGGGTCACATAGTGAGACCCCGTCTCCAATAAACAAAAGGGCAAATTTGCTCAGTGTCTGTCTTCCTGACAATCTTCATGAAGATGACTGATTTATTTTCTGTACTCAGAACAGCCTTGGTGCAAATATTGGTGTTCAATCAGTATTTGTTGAGTAATTGACTTAAGGAGATAAAAATCTGGCTTAAAATAGCAAAAATGATCTTATAAGAAAGTTCCTCTTTGTAGGTATACATTCCCATGGGAATAGTAAAAGTGTTTGATATGTAATAAATGCCAGAGCTACTAAAATACAGATTGAAATGAAAGGACAAGACAGTGGGGATGGGGTGAGGTGGGGGAGTGGGAGTCTTATCCATTGCTGCAAAGGTCGATGGTCACGAGTTAGTACTTCCATTGTTAATAAGGAGGCTAAAGGGCATGCTCTTGGGAATCAGGTGATGTCTTCTTTCACTGTCCGGTGGGTTTTTTTTTTTGGTATTGGGTTTGAACTCAGGCTGAGCCACATCCTTAGCCCTGTTTTGTGTTTTATTTAAAGACAGGATCTCACTGAGTTTCTTAGCACCTTGCTGTTGTAGAGGCTGGCTTTGAACTTGTGATCCTCCTTTCTCAGTCTCCTGAGCCGCTGGGATTACAGGTGTACGCCACCACACCTGGCTGTCTGGTATTCTTAAGAGCAAGATAGGATATACTAATAGGGTCAGCTACATAAAGTAGTAAGTTTATTTTTTACACAAAATTTGTGGGAAGGTGATGTATCAAGAATTTAATGTAGCAATTAATTGCTTGATATATATATATATATATATATATATATATATATATATATATATTTTTTTTTCCATTTTACTTGAATAAGCATCAGCAAAAAAAAAAAAGAAAAAAAAAGATTTATCTGTGCTGTTTTTGGAGGGGAAGCCGGGACTTTCCATTTTGAGCCTGGCCTTCTTTTCCTGCTGCAGAATTCAAAGCAGGTGCAGACGTGTTTGGGAGCTTTCCTGGAGCCAACCCTGACTGCTATCCAATTTTTGCTAGGAAAACCTGGGACCAAGGAGGCTATTTAAACTTGTCTTGGGAGGAGAAGGAGGGTTTTCTTTTTCTTCAAGGACAGGAGAGAGGAAGGTCGTGGCATCTGGGGGGTGGGGGTCAGATCTCCTTGGAATGGGAGAGGAAATAGGGGTTTGGTTCGCAGGGTGTTTGATGAAGCACCCCAAGGGGGCAGGTATGTGGGTGGGTAACCTGGAGGGTAACCACTGTGGAGAAGAGAAGCAGCAGAGGCCTCCACGGCTGGTCTGGTGGGTGGAGACGACCGTGGTGAAGAGCCATCCTCTAGCCTTCAGAACTGCACAGTGAACAGCTGACGGAATTCATCAGCAGCGTCCTGACCATGAGAAGCCAGGGAAACAAAGGCCATCATTATTGATAGGACCAGGTCCTTCCTCGTTTCCTAGAACATGAGGTCCTGTGGGATCAGGCACGAGACCCCAAAATAACGGACATCGGACATCTCACCAGCTTCTGCGAGTGGTGTCTTGGAGCCGGGCTTTAAACTAACAAATAAATGCAGCATTTCCTGAGATTTGGGTGTGGTGGTTACTTTTCATATTTCCCTTAATATTTTAAAGAATCCTAGAGAAAATATCCCCCCTCTGTTTATTTCTTGGGGAGTGCCTGGAACAGGCTGCAGGGGGGACATGCTGGTCCACCGTCCAGCCCCTCTGTAGTGTCCTTGCCACACCTTTAGGTTACCTGGGCTTCATGTTTGCTTCCCTGAGCCCCAGACCCTACCTAGGAAGCGAGGAGATGATGTGATACTCAGAAGTCCGCAGGAGGCTGTGATTTTAGTTATTCCTTTTACCTTCTTGTCATATTCATATATATATATCTGGAATTGAACTCAGGGACACTCAACCACTGAGCCACACCCTCAGTCCTATTTTGTATTTTATTTAGAGACAGGGTCTCCCTGAGTTGCTTAGCACCTCCGCCATTACTGAGGCTGGCTTTGAACTTGCGATCCTACTGCCCCAGCCTCTCCAGCTGCTGGGGTCACAGGCATGCGCCACGCCACGGTGCGGAGCTTCTTGCCATATTTCTAACCTGATGGATTAGCAGGAGGAATCCGTGAAATAAGGCCGGGGTGCTGACTCGCTGGGAGCATCCTGAGAGCAGGCTAGCTGACATCCCCTCCCCTGCCCTGGAGGCTGTAGGCTGGGGAGGGAGGCTTTCCAACAATTAAAAAAGACAGCTGCTCAGATCTGAGGGTAAGGGTGGTGCACGCCTTCAGACCCGGCCGGGCCAGGCTGTACCAGTGTGGGAGACATTACAAAGTCTGAGGCTGCAGTCTGTCCTCATCTTGGCGGGTCCCAGAGACACCGTGACAGGACGAGTTGGCTCTCTGGCTAAAGCTCACTTCCTTCCCTATCTCCTGGCCCCTGCTGCCCACACTTTCTTTGGCCACTTCCCTTAGCCTTGGCCCAGATCTCCCAGCTCCATAAGGGAATCCATGTTCCCGGGGTCACCGGGTGCAGAAGTCTGTGGGGAGTGGTGGGGGGCTGGACAGAGCTCTTCCCTGCAGCATTAGAAGATCTGAGAGCAGAGACGTGTGCACATAGGTACTAGTGCACACACTCGCATGCTGGTTGTGGGTCTACACACAAACTGCATGAAAGGATAAACAGGTGTGCACTCACAGACTCACACAAAACACATGTACACAACACACACAAATTCACAGAAAACACAAAATTTGAGCATGCACATCTGTGCATAAAATTATATATATACACACACACATACCAAGGACATAGGAACAAAATATAATTCAAATATAAACCCAGACACCCCCATATAAATGCTCCTCAACAAATCATCTTTTTTTGGTTTCTTCTATCAGTCAAGGTCATTTTTTTTGAATCATCATGGTGCTCTCTGTGCAGACCTGTGTGAACACAGAGGGTGTAAGAAATATTGAAAAGCTGTGGGCAGGAATGCCTGGAATCTCCAGATGGGGGATTCTGATCTAGCATAACAGCCACACACACTATATTACAGCTTCCAAGAATCAGGTGTCCCAAGTGCTTTATGTGCTTTCACTCATTTAATCCTCACATCAGCTCTTCAAAGTATCGTTATTCCCATTTTATAACAGGTTCATAAAGGTTAGGTAAAAAGCCTCCCATGAAAAACAGGTTCAGAGAAGTTAAGTAACTTTTATAAGGCGACAGAGCCAGGAGGCTAACTTCAGAATATAGGCTTGTGGTCACTCTCTGTGTTGTCTCAATCCGTACGGAGTCCTGCAGATGTTGAATGACATGTGGAAGGACACAGGGTAAGTTGCTCAGTCTTGGACTCAATCAGACACCTTCATGTTCTCATTTCTGGATGGTGTCTCCCTCGGACTCCTGGAGCTGGTCAGCTCCACTGTACACCAAACACATCCTCTCCACTACCTGTAGTGACCTCCTACCAAGCTGAGCTCCACTTAAGAACACCCAACTCTGAAATAAAAGTTTGCTCCTGGGAAGCGGTATACACCATTCCTCTAAGCTGAAGTTCAAGGGGTGCTTTAGATTTTCTGACTGTGTTTTTGGCCCCCACCTTGCTGGTGGCCTGTGCATGTGCTCAGGCTCCCTCCTGGGGCCTCCAGCCCTACTCACAGGTCCCACCTTGGTAGCTCCAAGTCCAGTGCTCCTCTCTCACCCCCACTAGACCTCCCCCCTCTTTTCCAGCTCTAAACCCCTACCCCGCAGAAGAACCAGCTGCATTTTCCCTAAGACAGTTCAAGGCCTGGCCTCCTCCCTCAACCCAAAACACAGAAATCATAACTACAATGTATTGGCTACCTCCTGCCAGTACTGCGGTGGACACTTTTTATCACTTGAAAGTCACAGTATGAGACACACATTATCATCTTCTTCAAATGGGCTAATCTACTTGCTCAGGGTCACGGCCTCTATTCATATTTCCCTCCCCCTTGGATACTGAGGATTTACCACTGAGGGATACCCCCAGTCCTTTTTATGTTTTTATTGTGAGAACAGGGTCTCCCTCAAACTGGCTGGCCTCAAACTTGCGATCCTCCCGTCTCAGCCTCCTAAGCCACTGGGATTAAGGCATGCACTACCACACCTGGCTCAATTAGGATTTTTAGCCAAGGAAATCCTTTGGCTGAAGTTCAGAGAAATCCCAGAGCTAGGCTCAGCATAGCGGTGGGAGACAGGGAGGTAGGGGAAACAAAGCAGAGTGAAAAATCACCTGTATGCCCCGTCCAGGGAGGGTACGGTAACACTGTACTGATCCCTGTCCTCATTTGCCCCTGGACACTGGCCTCACTCTGGCGCCTTTGCTAAGGTAAATACTCCACTGATCCCCTTCCTGGGATCCTGGGTACCTGGTTCAAAGGTTAGGGTGGGGTCCCCTGGGTGGCTGGGCCGGGGCCGTATGCTCACAACCTGCTTCAGGTGACATTTGAACTTTTCCAGTTTTAGGGTGGAAGGCAGCACCGCCTCTTTCTAGGACCCCTTCTCCAGACAGAAAAGTGGATGAAGAAGGTGGACAAGCGCCAACCCAAACCCACAGACCAAGCCCAACACGCCCGGTGCCCACACAGGTAACAGGTGCCCACGGGTTTCCCTGGCAGCTCTGTTGACACAACGTGAGGATTCAAGGACAAGGCTGTGCAGTCATTCTGTAAAAACCCTTCCTTTCCAAAGAGAAGCTCCTCCCTGTTGAAGTTCATCATTTCCTCCGAGTTCTTGACTCCATGTCCTTCTTCTTCTCTTGGACTTTCAAAACCTCCATCCACAAACCCCTCACTGAGGTTTTCAGTGTCTCTGAACGTTTAGATTTATACCGCGATGTCTTTCCCTCAGCCTAGGGGTTACTTACAAGTCCCATGTCTTTTCAAATCCACTTCCTCTGGACCTGCTCCCGGGCTCCTTTGGAGAGTGCTCTGAGTTCGAGTCCTGCCCATGGGTGTGGCTCTGGCTCCTCACGCCATCTCTGAAGGCCACAGCTTCTTCCTTTGTCACAGATACCTCCTTGTGAGGGAACAGCCCCCCAAAAGGAAGCGAAGTTGATGATATTATAAACATCAGTTCCATCCACCCCTGGGTGGGAATGACCAGGGATGGTCAGTGGGCACAAGGGATATTCGGGGTGGGGATGATGGAAATGTTCTAAAGTTAGACTGTTGCCATGGTGGTACCATTCTGTAAATTTACCCAAAATAATTGAACTTACATTTAATGAGGAGATTTTATCATATGTAAATAATACTTCACTAAAAATGTTATAGAGAAATGAAGGCCACTGACGATTATTTCTCTGATCTAGCCCCCTCCTCAATGCTGCGGAAACTTCTTAAATCCTTCTCAGCAAGAATCTTTCCAACTGGCCTCCTCACTTGTTGGGTCCCAGTTGAAAAGTCATCATTAAAAGCTTTACATTTGGGAGCCAGCAAGACCTGGGTTCAGATCCTGGGTTCCCCCTTATTATTACCTGAGCCAGATATTTGCCCTTAAGGATTTTTGTTTTCTTACCAGTGCAGAGGAAAAACCTAGGAGGAGGAGGAAATGAGAATGACAGGGACGAAACACCGGTCACCAAGCCCAGCAGAGGGTCAGTGCCCAGCAGCTGAGACAGGGCTTCTTCCACAGCCTGGTGGGAGGCCCTGGGAGTTTCCAGCGGTCGGTGACGGGTTTTCTTCTCTCACATCCTTTATGTGTGCCCCCCTCCCAACCCCTCTCAGGCCTTGTCATTTCATCCTGGGGACTTGAAATACCTTCCTGACTAATCTTCCCTCCCTTGCCTCTGCCCCAGGGATTATCTTCAATGTGGGTCGTCAGATTTTTATAAATATATAAATAATTCTAACATGCCATCAGGGTCCTCTCTAAAAAAATCTTATAACACCCCATCATTTATGAGATGGACCTTTGAGCCCCGAGCATGGCTTTAAGTCCCCATGTGGTGATCTGGTTATGCAATCTCACCTCCTCCTATGTCTCCCCTCCTGGCTCAAACCTTCACAATCACAGCTATTGGCTGACCATTTCTTCCATCCTTTTCCATGGAAATCTGCTTTCCTTTTTTCCTGCTCTTCATCTCTCCTGGAAATCCCTTGAAATCCCTTGAGCAGGTCTCCGCACCCAACTGAGTCTCGATTTTGTCACAAACACGTTGGGGTGAACCACATCCACTTCTCAGCTCTGGTCTGAAGATAATACTGATGGTCAACGATGATGACAATAATAACGAGAATCCAAAACAATTATAAGAGTAGTTAATAATTATTCCGCACCTCTCTTGTGCTGGGGACTTGGCTAAGCAATTGACAGAAATGACCCCAGTTAATTAAATTAGGTGCAGTTATGACTTGTTTTTAATTACAGGAGGATCAGAACATTTAACTTCCTCAAGGTCTCCAGGTAGCGAGAGTCAGGGCCGAGCACAGTCTAAGTCTGTGCTAAACCAAACCTGTGCTTCAAGCCTGGCACGCAGCAAGTATTTAATGGATTTTCTTCTTCCCTTATCCACCTTCATAGTCTCTAGTTTAGTTCTGCCCAAAATATGCCCCCTTATCCAGATTCTCCAGACACTTGGCTGGAGGGACACAGTCCACGTGTCCTCTCTCTCTCTCTGTTTTTATGGTGCTGGGGATGGAACCCAGGGCCCTGAACATGCTGGACAAACGCTCCACCACTGCGCCACACCCCCATCCCACGTATTCTCTGACAGGACTGGGGTTGTGTCCCCATTATGTCACTTTTTACTCAGTCTAAGTTATTTATTGTCTACAATTATTTACTGCAATGATGGACATTTAGTATTTATTATCTACTCATATTTGTTATGTGATTAAATATTATTTTATATTTCATGTCAGGAATGTCAGAGAAGGCTCTCTCTTCCCTGGTGTTGGACCTCCCATCCTGATTGGGCAGCCCCTGAACTAGCCATCATTGTCCAGAATAAAGAGAACATGTCCAACAGGTAGGTGTGCTGGGAATGAGCTCTGGCCATTGGACTGGGGTGGAAACAATGTGTACCACCTCCGAATGGTGTCCCTAAAGAAAACACTGTTACACTTTGTTTCCTTCTCTCCCTCCTTCCTGATGGCTGAAATGGGGACTTGATGGTAGGAACTGGAATAGCCCTTGGGTCATCAAATGAAGCTGCCTATTGAAGATGGACCATGAAGTCAAAAGGAGCCTAGCTCCCTGCTGGATTGTGAAGCTGCTACAATTAAGTACACACACAGACTTTTACATGAAAGAGAAATCACTGGATGTATTTTGGCACCATTGTTTGGGAGCAATATCTGTTAAGACAGCTGAATTAATACCTCACTACACCAGGTGATGTTGTGGATACTAGGATTATAAGCTGTATCAGTCCATTTTGTTATAACAAAACACCCAAGGCTGTGTATTTTGTAAAGAAAAGAGGTTAATTTATCTTGTATTTTGGAGGTGGAAATTCCAAGATCAGGCAGCTCCATATGTTCCACCCTTGGTCTCATGATAGATGGTATTCTGATGGTAGAGTACACGAGGAAGAGATCACACGGCAATGGGAGAGGCCAGAGAGATTTAGGGGTCAAGCTCACTTTTTTTTATAACAATCCACTCTCTGGGAACTAACGAGGGTCCCTTGAGATCTCTTCTAAGGGTGATGGTACCCCATGACCTAACTACCTTGCACCAGGCTCTACCTCTTAAATATTCTACCACTTCTCAGCCCAGCCGTACTGGGCATCAAGCTTCCAGCATGTGAAGATTTCAGGGAACACACTCAGATCACATCCCCCTCACTCAAGCCAGGTTTCGGATTCTAATGAGAGAAACAAAGGTTAACCATGTAAAGCAAATAAAACCACCCAGGCAAATCCAGGCAGGTCACAAACAAGCTATTGTGAACCAGAACAACGAAGGGTGTGAGTACCGTCTTCTAGGGTGACCAGTGAAAGCCTCTCCAAAGGGGTGACATTGAGATGAGATCAAATGACAAGCAGGAGCCATCCGTGGGAAGATCAGAGGAAGAACTTTATATGGACCACAAGTGACAAACCCCGTTCCCCTGAACTGGAAATGAGATTGGCAAGTTCAAGGTCCAGGAAGACATGGACACCTATGTCCTTCTGTTAGAGAGCTGGGTAAGTCTTTTTTCAAATTAAATGTTTCTTGACGTGTATTCGTATATCAATTAGTCAATGGATTCCTCCGTGGGTCTCGAAAGGCCAGATGGCTTTAATTCACCTGCCTCCTCACCACTCCTGGCACGGTGCTGGCCTGAGTCCCACGCTCTTATTTGTGATGTGCTGAGACATCTGCTACACACTGTCCTTTGGCCCGGCTGACCTCGGACAGATTCCCTCCTGTTCTGATTCACTGCCCGTGGCCCTGGTGATAAAAAGAATCTCATCTCTGCTGCGGAGAGCTCCGTCTGTGTCCCCTGCAGCTCAGCCACCACCTTCTCCCGGGGCCTGACAGCCATGAAGCTGCTTCTCCTGTTCCTGGCCATCTTTCTGGCTGTGGAACCCCTGATGTCAGGTAACTGGGGCTCTCTCGAGGGCCTGGGATCTTGGGCATGGGCTTGTCCCCTTTTGCTCTCTTCTCACTGTGGGCAGCCCCCGAGTCTCTCCTCATTTCCTGGCGCTTTGGGAGGGTTTCCCAGGATCCTCTCGTGTTTATATCTCCCCACGATGCTGAATGGGGGGATGAGAGCTGTTTAGAGCATCAGGTGCTTCAAGGCAGGATGGCCTTCTGGTAGGAGCTGGGGATAGAGCTGAGGCTGGAAGGTGCAGGTCGGGGGCTCTGGGAGATTAGGATGAAGGCTGGGGGTGAGTCCCGGTAAGGGAGACCTGTGGGCTTGCAGTGGCAAAGGGAATATTAGGATGACCTGGAAGAGGGGGCCTGGGACTTCCCCATGGTCTGGGGGAGTTGGAGAGGGAACGGATTTTGGCTTGAGTGGCGCTGGTGCTGGGCATCTGGCTGGGCTTGACCTGAGGCTGGGAGTCAGTGCCCCAGGGTGCAGGGTGCTTGGGTTTGGCTTGGTGATGGGCATCTGCTGGGAGTTGCGGTTGGTGGCTTGATTAGATTTGGGTATGGTTTGCAGCTGGGGCTCAGTGGGCACTGAGCAGGGTAAGGCTGCGTGTCGACTGCATTTGAGTTTGAACTGGGTGAATCTGGGCTCAGAGGATTGGACATTGGGTTGTGGCTGGAGCTGAGTTTTTCTGGGCTCTGTTACAGGGCCAGGCTGTGGATGAGGAGCTGGGATTGCTTCATGTGAGAGCATCTCCATCCCCGAGTGTCAGAGGTGGACATTGTCCTGTTCCCAACGTTCCCTTGCGTTGTTCCCTTCATTTGTATCAACTGATCCCTAAGTAAGAAGTAGGAAGTTAGGGGTCGGGGGACCCAGGGTGGGAAGTCTGGAAACTGTCCTCCTGAAAGCTCTGGAGTTCCCAGTTGGAATCATCGCTCAGTTCCTTGCTCTCCCAAGGTCTCCTCTCGCCCTCCCTGGGAGCGGATCCAGCAGGGCTTACTCAGCCCTCTCTCTGGCCTTCTCCCCCTCCCTCGGTTCCTCCTCCACCTCGGTCTCTCTCTTAGCAATACTAACATCTGCTTCCTGGTTGTTCCCGTGCCCAGAAGCAGAGTGTTGGAGTCACGGACACTGCCTCTTGGTGTGCAACGATGACGAGGATCATGTCTTACGCTGTGCAAATCGCAAACGGTGCTGTGTCCCTAGTCGCTATGTGACAATGAAACCAATAACGATCGATTACGTCCTTGACTGGACCACGCCAACCGTGCCCACAACCGTCCCCACGACCGTCCGTAAAAGGAAGAAAAACAAAAAAACACGGCCAGGGGTGATTTTGCTTCAGACTTCTTAGTTTCCGCGCTTCATTAAAACTCACACATGGGCTGCTTGTGTCTGTCAGTCAAAAGGAGGGGTCCCCCAAACGGATGGAGGCAGGGGAAATGGCAGGAAGGGGCGGGAGTTAGGAGAGAGAGTCATCAGGGCTGGGTCAGAGCAAATGGTGATGATCGTAGCTTTGAAGATGGTTCCTTATCTGGTGGCCCCAGGAGGGGGTGTAGCATCAGGTGTGGGAGAGGGCAAGAGATTTAAAGGCACCTCAGGTGTCTGTAAAGTGGGACAACCCTCAGGCCGGAAGAGTTGGTCCACCTTGAAGGGGAGAGGGGAGGAGGTAGTCAGGGGCTAGGTGGAGCCCCAATCCTTGGGTTTCTAGGAATGTCAGCTCAGAGGCCTTGGGGATGCTCAAGAGTTCGCAGCCCCAGGGGTTAGAAGGTTCCCAAGTACTAAAAAATGATAAAGTACCTGAATTTACTCATTTACATATGAATTTGTTCATTATTCAATTTTTAAAAATATTCTTCCATGCATTTACTTGCTCATTCGTTCAGGTGAGGTCTGCCACTCAGCACTAGCAGACGGTGTATCCAACCCTCTCACAATTTCAGTTTCCCCAAAGGGAGGTTAGAATAATGATCCGTCTCAGGGTCATGGTAGAGATGACACGGGGTCATGTACAAGGACCCATGCATCACGAGTCCTCGAAAAATGCTAGCTGTTGCCATCGTTCCTTGATTTATTTAGGCATTCACGGAACACACGTGCTGCCTGCTCTTCAACTGCTGTTAGACTGGGGGAGGCAGAGCCTGTCTCATTTGAATGGATAATTTAGCCCCAGGGAGACTCACCTAGGGGGAATACTTAAGAATCCTGACTGGGAACCTAGCAGACCTGGGTGTCTTCCCAGATGTTATTATCTCAGATTCTATGATCAGGGCCTCATTTATCCACACGGTTGTTCCCTGCTGGCCGACGTTGGGACCTGGAGTGCTCTGAAACATGGGACATGACCTAGAGACAGAGAGAAGAAATTCTCTCTGATGTAGGAAGATCATTTGCCTTTAGTTCAATATTTCTATTCTTAGACCCTGGAAAGAAAAACCCCTCCCCTGATTCTGGTCCTATTCTGGGCTTCCAAATGAGGTCCTCCCAGTGGGATGGGAACCTACTGGGGCAAGAGGGGCACGTCCACCCACTTCTGGACTGGGCTTCAAGTGCCTGCAGAACTCTTGTGCCTGCTTCCAGGGGCAGCAAGAGCCTGTTCCCAAGGTGCAGCCCAGGCAAGGGAATGCCACATGCACTCCTGTTTGCAGGGGCCCTGGGCAGAGTGTGGAGGGCCCAGCTGGAGCCCCATGTCCACGTGTGTGAGGGTCTTCATGGTGGGGAGCAGGGCTGGCATGTGGTAGAAGGGGGGTGGGCTGCCCTCATGCCTTGTGTGGGCACGAAACTCTGAGAAAGCCAAGAATCTAAATCCAAGTCTGACATTTCAGGTCATTACAAAGGACTATTTCATAAAAGGGGACAGAATACTTTTCATTTTTCTTTCATTAACTCAATTCATAACTTTGAAGCATTCAGACATATGATACATGAGCCTCCATTTGTCTTCTTACCATATATATATATTTGTACCAGGGAGTAAACCCAAGGGCGCTTAACCACCCAGTCACATCCCCAGCCTTTTTTTTATGTTTTATTAGAGACAGGGTCTTGTTGAGTTGTTCAGCGCCTTGCTAAGTTGCTGAGGCTAGATTTGAACTTGCAATCCTCCTGCCTCAGCCTTCCGAGTCACTGGGATTACATTCATGTGCCACCGCTCCCAGCTTCTTACCCCAGGTTTTTATCTCACCTCTGTAGGTGGGTTCAGATTGAGTTCTGATTGGCTTCCCAAATGGTCACTCTTAAGAAGCTACAGCATGTGTCCCATTATTGTGTAATTATTTGAATCACCGTGTCTTCCCACCAATCCCCAAAACTTGGCTGGGACATTTTATTTGCACCTATCGTGCAGCCCAGGGCTCAGCAAGGATGCCATTATGAGTGTTTCTTGACAGATTGAATAGATGAACAGCGAATTTACAAGCGAAAGCTTGAGCACGTTTGGAGGGAGCACAAATCGCTGGTGTCGGGTTCCAGGAACCCATTGGGATCCTTGTCGGGCAGAGGACCACTGCATCAGGTAGATATGACTCTGGCCAGGACTGTTAGGACGTGGAGGAGTTCCTGGGCTTCGTATTATTTCTCAGCTGGTTTGCTCTTGAAACACAGACTTCACAGTATGGAAGGTGGCCAGGGATGGTACAAGGTTCCTCAATATCTGGGGCCTGGCAGTAACCTGTCCATGTGTGACCATTCAGCCTCCACCAAATTCATTCATTGAATCATTCCTTGGTGCCTCCTCTGAGCTTAATACTGGGAAAACAGAGGTGACCCCAGGGAGTGACAGAAGGCTCAGATGTCACCATGGAGCCCCAGGAAGTTTTTAGATGACAGTCAACCCTGGGCCTGAATGTCTGGATTTGGGATTTGGGCATGTGGAATTTTAGAAATTCCCTCTGATTCTTCCTTTGGGAGATAAGGTGTCACCCCTCAGTTCTCCTGTTACACCTCCTACATTCTTTATAGCCCTCAAAACTGGGGGACTCCCAGGCAACCTTTCCTTATTTTCCCATTTCACAGATGGGAACACAGGCCCGGGGGCGGGGTGGGGAGGAAGTGGCCGAGGCTCCTATGTAAGTTGGAGACAATGCTGAGATTAATGAAGCAGCTTCTTTGACTTCTGGCAAGAGGGAGGTGAATGGAGGGTGGCATGCAGCAGTTGTGGGTAATCAGTGAGTAGAGACCTAAAGAGTCACAGAGTCAAAGGGTGGATGCGTTCAGCAGTGGCAAAGCCCCTGACCAATGTCTTCACTCTCGAATCCCCGCCTGGGGCTGCTGTGGCCTCTCTTCAGAGGGAAATCACAGAGCAGGCTGGCTGGTCTGCGCCATCCTCTCAAATGCTCAGTTCTGCTCGCCGCACCTTTGGATGCAGTTGGAACCTCGTCCTCAAGGGAGAAGGGAAGGACCTTATCTCCAGAGGATGTGATAGAAGGGGATTTTGCTTTTGTAAGGCTTCCTTGAATCTCCCTTTGCCTCCCTTGTAGGCAGAGGGGTGACGAGGATGGATGGGACATTGCCAGCAGAGAGCGGCCCACCTGGGGTGAGGGTTGAGGGGCAGTCCCAGAATGATTATCTTAAAGCAGGGAAGACCAGGCCTCTGCATTGTAACCTCCCTGGGAGTGACCAGCAGGCCTGCTAAGGAGGCCGAAGCTCAATTCAGCGTCTGCTGTGTATATTAAATCTGTTGGGACATAGGGCCCTTGTGTGCCAAATGCCAAGTTTAAGGCCTGCAAATCCCAGGTGCTGACAACTGTTCGTGGAATGAGTGAAAGATCCTTGAATACCGGGTTCAGAAGTTTGGCTTTGACACTGAAGAAACCCAGGACCATGACCTCAGCTGTCACCAACCAATGCAGCCAGGGCCTAACATGCAGACGGGAAGCACTGCGCATTAGAAAGAGTATGGGCTTTGTGTACAGGAGTCCTTGCTCTGCTTCTAAGAGCTGTGGAGCCTTTGCCAGAACATTGCCTCTCTCTGAGTCTTGATTTCAGAATGCAAGAAAATAAAATGAAGAAATGTGCTTCATAAGGTTGTTGGAGGGATTCAATGAGTTGGCATAGATCCAGTGGCTCATAGTAGATGCTCAGTAAATGGTAATGGTCATTATTTCAATTTTCTTTTCAATGAAGGATCATTTGTGTTTTGGAGGACTCAACCCCAAGGGGGGCATAATAATAATGTTAATGGCTAACATTTCTCCAGTGTCTACTGCAGAGCAGGAACCTCGTCTGTTTCTTCCATGGGCTCAGTCTCACCCTAGAATCTCTGGCTATCACTAAGGGACTATGGTCTGTCTAAATTCATTGAATACTCTCTCTCTCCTGTGCTGGGGATTGAGTGGGGGGTCTTGTACAAAGTGCTCTACCACTGAGCTACACTTCCAGCCTTCACGGGAATCTTTTCAAACTGTGTTCATAATTGAAGTCTAGGAAAAAATGAATCTTCCAGGAAAGACCCTTCATCTCATAACAAGAACAACAATAACACGTCACACTGGCTTAGTTCTTACTCTGTGCTAGTCCCTAATTGCTTTCCATTTACTGTCATTAATCCTTACGGTTCTAGGAGTTAAATACTTTTATAGTTTACATGGTAGAGACGAGAAAAGGGTAAGAGAGAGAGAGGGACAGAAATAGATTTGCAGGAAGTTGCAAGAGAGAGAGATCCTGTGTGCCCTTTGCCCAGTTTCCTCTTATAGTTCTATTTTATGTAACTACAATAAAACCCAAGAATCTGATATTGGTACAACGTGTGTATAAATTTCTACGCTATTTTGTCACAGGTGCACCCCTCCCCCACCCCCGGCCCCATGATCAAGACATGGGACTTCCCATAGGCCTTTGTAGTCCCACTGACTTTACTCCCTGGTCCTGCCACTAAATTTAACTCCTCATAACTATGAATTTCTTCTCCTCCTCCCTCCTCCTCCTTCTCCTCCTCCTCCTCCTCCTCCTCCTCCTCATTCCCCTCTCCCCACCCCCACTTCTTCTCCTTCTGCTTCTGCTTCTTTCCTTTCTGTGCTGAGGTTCAAACCCAGGACCAGCACATGCCTAGAATGTGGTGTACCACTGAGCTAAACCTCCAGCCCCCTCTTTATAGTTTCATCTTTTTAAGGCTGTTGTAAAATAGAATCATATGTGAACTTCTGAGATTTTTTTTAATGCAACAAACTGTATCAAATTTGTTCCTTTGACTTCTGAGAAATTCTAGACAGCAAAATTCTGAAAGCAAAAAAGAAAATAAAAGGCATAGAGATTAGGAAAAAAAAAGAAATAAAACTGTCTTGCCCAGTGTGGTGGCACATACTTGTAATCTCAGCTACTTGAGAAGGGGTAAATGACCAACGGTAATTGGTTTTTGAATTTAGCAATGTAAAGTTTATTGGTGATTTTGACAAAATAATTTTCTGTGGGAAAAAACCTGAATAGCAGGACAGTGAGTTCAGAGGCCAGCCCAAGCAACTTTGTGAGACCCTGTCTCGTACAACGTACGAAAAAGCAAAGGGGCCGGGGATGTAGCTCAGTGGTAGAGCGCCTGCCCAGCATGCACAAGGCCCTGGGTTCCATCCCAGCACCACCCCCAAACAAACAAACAAAAGGAGCAAGAGAAAGAAATAAAAAAGAAATAACACTGTTTCTTTTGTAGATATCATCATGGTTTGTGTAGAAAGACTCAAGGAATCTACAAAAATGAAAATATGTAGAACTAATAATTCAGCAAGGTAGCAGGATACAAGATAAACATATGAAAATCAATTGTATTTCTGTATCATAGCAATGAACATGTGGACACTGAAATTAAAAATACAATACCATTATATACAATACACAAATACAATACATCACTCCAGAAAAATAAAATTTTTAGATGTATATTGGAAAAAAAAGTGTGCAGAAAAACCACAGAACTCTGACAAAAGAAATAAAGATCAAAATAAACGAAGAGATAATGTTTATATGTTGTAAGATTCAACTAACAAACATGTCCATTCTCCTTAAATTGGTACATACATTTATCATAATTCCTATCACATTTCCAGTAAGATTTTTTTTATAGACATAGACAAGATTATTCAATTATTTTGTCTGAGGATAAATTTGCAAAGGAATGAGAATAACTAAAATAAAGTTGAAAAAGATTAAAGTTGCAAGAATCATTCTACCAGATTTCAAGATTTACTATATGTGTAGTACTCAAGGCTGTGGTATTGTTGGGGAGACGGGCACATGGATCAATGGAACAGAACAGGGAACCCAGAAATCCAGAGGCAGTCCCAACACTAGTACTGCCAACTGATTTTTAGAAATGTTTTTATTAGTGCATTATAGTTGCACATAATAGTCGTGTTCTTTTTGACATAATCATACATACATGGAATACAACTGGCTCCATTTCAGTCCCCTGTGTCCCCCCCGCCCTTCCCTTCCTCCACTCTATTGGTCTTCTTTCTATTTATTTGTAGGTTTTTTTTTGTTGTTGTTTTGTTTTGTTTTTTAAAGTTTTGGTGCTTGCTAAGTGAAATAAGCCAGACTCAGAAAGTCAAGGGTTGGATGTTTTCTCTCATATTTGGAGACTAGAGGAAAATAAGGGGAAAAGTGGGGGATTCCATGAACCGAGGGCTAATTACGAAGGAGAGGAAGAGGTTAGAGGGGAGAGAGGAGGGATGGGAAAAGGGAGGAACTGAATGAATGAAATTGACCAAATTATATGAATACACCACAGTGCGTTTCACCTGTATGTGTATCTATAAAGCAACAAATAATTTTTTGATAAAGGTACATAAGTAACTCAATGGAAGAAAGTTTTTTTTTTTAAACTAATGGCACAGGAGTAATTGGACATCTACAGGTGAAAACCACCCCAAAAAATATAGGGGAAAAAAGAAAATAAAGCAAAAGAAACTTGCCTTGACATAAACTTTGTCTGACACCTTATATAAAAATGAACTCAAAATGGATTGTAGCTTTGGGGCTGGGGATGTGGCTCAAGCGGTAGAGCGCTCGCCTGGCATGCGTGCGGCCTGGGTTCGATCCTCAGCACCACATACAAACAAAGATGTTGTGTCCACCAATAACTAAAAAATAAATATTAAAAAAATGGATTGTAGCTTTTAGCATAAAATACAAAATTATATAACTTCTAGAAGAATACATGGGGAAAAAAACCTTCAGATTTAGGTCTTGGTGAGGAGTTCTTAGATACAAAAAAGCACAATCTATAAAATAAAAAAAATAATAAATTTGACTTACAATTTAAAGCCTTCATTCTACAAAAGACCTCATGAAAAGATAAATTACATTTGGGTGAGAATATTGGCAAACTGCATATTTGACAATGAATTTATACTAGACTTCAGAGACAGTTCTCAAAATGAACAGTTAAAAAAATCTAATAATAAACTGGACAAAAAACATGAAAAGTCATGTCCCTGAAAAGGTTATACAGATGGCAAATTAGCATATGGAAAGATGTTCAACCTCATTAACCATTAGGGAAATGCAAATTAAGACTAGGAACAGATTCTACTACGTAACTATAAAACAGCGAAAATTAAAAACAGTGATAGTACCAAATGCCATCGGGTTTACAGAGAAACTGTGTCTCTCATACAGTTCTGGTAATAATGTTAAATGGTCCAGCACTCTGGAAAATAGTCTAGCTGTTTCTCATTTTTTGAAAGTGCTGGGGATTGAATCCAGGGCTTCGTGTGTGCTAGGTAAATGCTCTACCACTGAGCCACATCCTGAGCCCCTTGCCATTTCTTAAAAAAATAAAATAAAATAAACTCTGATCATACTACTTGATGAACATAATCTTTCATTTTTAAAAAATGAAAATTTACATCCACACCAAAGCTGGTAGGTGAATGTTCATAGCAGTTTTATTTTTTACTAGTAAAAACCTGGAGGCTAGGAGAGGGTACCTTGGAGGAACAGTTGCTTGCCCAGCAGGCATAAGACCCTGGACTCAAGCCTTGCACTGCTAACAAACAAACAGACAAACAACAAACAAAAGCAAAATGAAACAACCAATCAAAACGCCCCTCTGTAATAAACTTGCACCGTGCATACTATGGAGTATTACTGAGAATTAAAAGGGGTGAACTAGTGGTAGACAGCTTGGAGGGTGCCCCAGTTTGGTCGATTGTCTTTTGTCCATTCTAGTTGAGATGCTCCTGGTTTTTAGTAGAATGAATAATTTCTAATGGAAATCTGGACACCTTGAGTATGAGGCTCTGGGATTCTGGGTCCTATTCCAAGGATCCGAGCTGTGCTAGCCCTCCTGCTCTGTCACTGCTGTGGCCAGGCGAGCAGGACGGCCTCCATTATTCCAGGAGGGATAGAAGTCCAGTGTCTGCACCCTGCTTCCTCTGACACGGAGGTAGGTGGGGTGAGGTGGCTCCTCATTACTGCAGGCTGCCACCGCCAGTTCCAGCTCCCAGGTGTGCCTCCTCTGACATCACCCTGGTTCCCCACATGGCCTGCCTGTGACATCGCAGGGGCTGGTGGCCCTGTAACTGTTGCCTGATGCAAGACAGGATGCCCTCTTCCCACTTGGCAGGGGAAGTTGAGACTCCCCCACATGATTTCTGTTGACACTGGTGGTGGTGGAGGTTACTGCACAGCAGGGGTCAAGGTCCAGGCTGTCACTCAGGTTTCTCAGCTACCATCCTCGGAGGCAGCGCTTCTTTTCACTCTAGAAAGGGCGGAAGTCTAAGCTCTCCACTTGGCCATATTTACTAGAGGTATGAATGGGGCTGTAGACTTTTCTGTGTTTTTTGAGCAAAGAGGCTACTGTCTAAAACGTTCTGTTTTGCTAGGCTGCCCTTTTCCTGGTCTTTGGACTAGAAAGAGCAGAATTTTCTTAGGGACTTCTTCTTCTTCTTTTTAAAAAAATCTCTGCACCCACATGTATTTCCAGATTGCCAGCTTCTCCAGCACCATCCTAGAATATAAGAGGCAAAATCAAACCTAAGAGATCGTTCCTCAGATCTTGAGGTCCCTGCCTGGCTTGACTTCTTCTCTTTACCTTTCAGAGGATTCTTATATTTATGTATAATGCCCAGGGTTTTAAGAAGACAAGTAGAGAAAATGACTTTGGCACTGTTTTTCTGGAAGTGGAAGTCTCTGTCAACCTTTAGGTTTTTATGATGCTCCCGGACCCATCAGATCTATGTCACTGCCAAGTGGAAATTAATTATCACTGTCATGTTATTTTATATTTTGTCCAGGAAGACATTCCCTCCTTCGATGCATGGGTAGCATGGGCGTCTGCAGGACCGCTTGCAGGAAGATAGAGCATACCTACTTCTACTGCAGAAATTACCAGTCGTGCTGTCTCCAGTCCTTCATGAGGATAAATGTGGCTGGCAAAGACGAACCTGGTGTTTTGTCCTACGCAAAGCACTGGCCCAAGATACCCTGAATGTTGGTGATCACCCTCCTCAAACTCAGACCTGCCATCATTCCCCTTCATTAAAATTCATGCACCTGCCACCGTGGTCTGTCTTTCCTCCGTGGGAATTCTCAGCAAGGGACTTGAGCTTTGTGTGGTGAGCTGTCTGTCCCTTCTGGACTCAGCTCTGTGAGATAGCACCTGGACCAGGTAGTGAAGGTGGGCAGGGGGAGGGGGAGAATGAAGCTGAGATCAATAAGGGACGGTTGAAGGGTGCAGCCGAGCCAGGACTCAGAGGGCACTGGGACTCGTGGGATGGGTGGTAAGGCAGTAGGTGGAAATCTCGTGGACAAATTTGGGCTCAGTTTATGGAACTAAGAGAGAGCCAATGTAATGTGGGATAAACTGTCCTGTCAAAGTTTCAGGTTGTGAGGTTGGGGGTTTGTTTGTTGGTTATCACTGAGGAATTTGAATATTACATGCGGTTGTCATTGGTGACTGCGGAAATCCTTTAAGTCCTAAAAAATCTAGGAGGCTATTACCCACCGTGACAACCAATGTTAGCGTTTCAACCAAAAGTTCTAATTTTGCTTTTTAAGTCTTATCTTCCACTAATCTTCTTTCTTTCTTCCTGTTGAGTTCTACATTTTCAAAGCCACACTTCGCTCATTATCTTTCTCTACTTTTCTGATTCTTCAGAATTCATCACAATCGCTTTTTTTTTTTTTGCGGGGGGTGGGGAAGGTACTGGGGATTGAACTCAGGGGCACTCAACCACTGAGCCACATCTCCTGCCCTATTTTGAATTGTTTTTAGAGACAGGGTCTCACTGAGCTGTTTAGCACCTCACTATTCCTGAGGCTGGTTTTGAACTCGCAGTCCTCCTTCTTCAGCCTCCCAAGCCACTGGGATTACAGGTGTGCTCCCCGCCCCAAACCCTGTCCCCTGCGCCCGGCAGTATTATGTTTTGAAATGACTTTGCAATCAGTAGAGCTCGCTTCAGGGTACACAGTGTCACCAACCCATTTTCACATCTGTAACCAATACAGGTCCCCCAAATGCTCCTTCCAAATGCGACGTAAGCTCAACACCGTGCTCTGCAAACAGAGCTTGTGCCTGGCCAGCACCGTTCTCCTGTATTTAAGGAAGTGGCCGTTTCAGCATCTTGGGTTTAGACATTGAGTGGTGGGTTCATCCTTTGAGGATTACCTCCTTTTCTCCTTCCTTTGATGCTGCCACCCAGAACTTCACCCAACAAAGCTTAGGATCTGGAGAAAGATGCTAGTTCCGAATCTGTGTGGGGGAAAATGTAGGTCTAAGAACCTGGGCTGAACTTCTCACTGAAAACAATTTAAAATATATGATAAAACTTACGATAAAATAAAATATACAATAAAACTGGTTAAATATACAATAAAACTTCTTGAGCATCTTGACCTTGCAAGAAAACAAGATGAAGAATATTAAGGCCAGGTGAAGGCAGGCACTCTTCTGAAGGCAGTCCCTGAATCCCAACTTTGTCTTGGAGGCATTTGGTGCATCAGGTGAACCTGAGGTTTGGACTTTGAGCAGGGAGGTGAGGGCACCGGAAAGGAGATGTTGCCTGGGGTTTGAAAAAAATGTGTCTAGTAGGAGACTCTGACATAGGTCTCAGTCCTGAAAGTGTTACATCTGCTGTGAAAGGATAAACCAGCTACATGGTCCTTCTTTACAAGATGTTATCTGGCTTTGAATTTGGTGCTGGGTATACAGTTTAAAAAAAAGAAAAACTCCATTGAAAATTTACAACCTTAAACCTGTCCTCATGTAGTCTCAGCTAGAAGTTTTGGTACTTAAGTGGTTTATTTATTTTTTCACCTGTACAGAAGTATTTATGTAAGCATCTTTCATAATAGCCAAATGAACAATTAGAGGTGAATGAATGAACAAAATGTGGTATATCCATACAGTAGAATATTAGTCAACCATAAAAAGAAATGAAGTACTGATAGATAGATGTTGTGACATGGACAAACCTTGAAAGCGTTATGCCAAGAAGCCAGTCACAAAAGAATACATATTGTGTGATTCTATTTATGTGAAATATCTGAAATAGGCAAATCCATAGGAATAGAAAGTAGATTAGAGGTTGATAGGGGCCAAATTGGGAAAGGAGTATAAAATTACTGCTAATGGGGTTTCTTTTATGGGAATGAAATATTCTAAAATTAGACTGTGGTAATGGTTGTACATCCTTGTGAATACCCTAAAAACTACTGAATTGTATACTTCAAATAAGTTAAAATTTTGTCATTGGAATTATATCTGAATAGATTATTTTGTTAATAAAATAAAATGGGAATAAAGTTTAACCTCTCCACATTTGGTTTTCTCACCATTATCAGCAGTATTTTCTATTTACCCTGCGCCCCACACCCTTTTTAACTGATGTTTACACAATAACAGTTGTACTTTTTGTATTGGTGGAAAACCTACAGAGTGACAAGTTATTTATATTTTAATAATCACCACAGTATCTTCAGAAATTTGCAGCCTAGAGGTACATGATATAGGGGACATATGGTTATCCATCCTGTAGTCTGTGCATGGTGGCTGTGTGATTGTTCACTGGGGCACGGCAACAATTTTGAAAGCTACTAGGGATTTGGAGCCACTAAATTGGGAACTACTTAATGATAACATCAGAAGTGAGATATAAATAATGGCTAGTATAGAAAATTATACCCTAATTATGTACTCTGAAAATTCAGCTCCTGAAGTGATCAGTTTCTTTTAAATACTGAAGACTGCTTGAAAATTCCACTTTAGAACTGATTTTTAAAGTGTACTTATTTGGATTGCGGGTGTAGCTCAGTGGCAGAGCTCATGCGTAGCATGTGTGAGGCCCTGGGGTCAGACCCCAGCACCCATCCCCAAAAGAGAAGAAGAAGAAACATCATAGGGAAAAAATCAGAAGTAAACTAAATGTCTAATGATGCCTAATTAAGTTTTGGATATATTTATCTGTTGAAAATTAGGCAGCAATTGAGTATTATAATTAAGAATTGTAATTCTTGTAATCTAGCAATTTAAAAACAAGATATATTATCATATATCTTTAAACATTTTTTTTAAATGGACACATACCTTTATTTATTTTTGTGTGGTGCTGAGGATCGAACCCAGTGCCTCACACGTGCTCGACAAGTGCTGTATCACTGACCACAACCCCAGTCCTCACCTGAGTGGTTTATAATTTAGCTTAACTTGTCCCAGGACTCATAGCCTCAAAGATGTCCTACAGAAGCAAATGAAAGAGTAGACATTGAACCCAAGACTCAGTCAAGTTAATTGTACAAAGTTCCAGGGAAAATGAGCAAATCAGGACCCCAAATGACAAAGCACATAAGGAAAGGGCACCATGAGTTAAGGCAGCAGGAACCATAGACCAGGGACGGAGACTTCCAAGGACTTTCAAGTATCAGAATTACCAGTTATAAGAGACAAGTTCAAAAACCTAAATTCATGAGACCTGAGTCTTCCATCATGAATTCCTATCTAACCTCTTGAATACTAAAGTCAGAGTTGCAAAGAAGCACTCCAACCTGAGGTGGAAATGTTATGTTCAAAACTGGGACTTAGCAGGCCTAGAAAACATGGACTGCAGAAGTGGCTGGTTCAGTGACCCATGGGACCATTTCCTGCTTTAATTGTACCTGCTTTGCCACACACCAATGACGTCCTGAGGAATTTCTAAGGTTAGCTAACAGAAGAGGAAAATAAATGTCAGGTTTGTTGACACTGAAAAAAGTAAGCCTGGCAATGTGACGCATGCCTGTAATCCCAGAGGCTCAGGAGGCTGAGATGGGAGGATTGCAAGTTCAAAGCCAGCCTCAGCAATGACAAGGCGTTAAGCAACTCAGGGAGACCCTGTCTCTAAACAAAATATAAAGTAGGGCTGGGGATGTGGCTCCGTGGTTAAGTGGCCCTGAGTTCAATCTCTGGTCCCCACCACCCCCACCAAAAAAAAAAATCAGGTTTGTTTTTGCTGTGTGACAACCTGGTGTGGAGGTGGCCCAGAGAGTCAGTGAGGAGATCCTTCCATCGAAGGAGGGAGAACTTGAGCATGGCTCTGTGGTTGATTCACAGGAGAGGACGTGGGTGGCAGGGTTGTCTAGGAACTTGGAGAGAGCAAGGTTAGAGGGTCTGTAGCAGTGAGGCTTGGATAGTTATATGCGTGGACCTCTCTGAAAGGGGGCAGATGGGAGGATATTTGCAGGCTATCAGAAGGGGACAAATAAGCTCTAAATAATGAGCTGGCAAATCACTCACCCGTCCACCCACAATTGGGGGCCCTTGGTACCCTTGGATGTCCATGTGTGACCAAGGATTGGTCAAGGAAATGGGCCCAGGGAGCCAGCCTTTCAATTGCTTCTATTCCAATCTTGAAGCAACTGGGGCTAATAAAGGAAATCTTATAGCTTATACCCAGGGCAGCCAATTTCCTACAGCGAGAGAAAAAACAGGGCTTCAAGGCCAAGGTTAGTAGGAATTGGATGCTTTCATGTTGAAATATCTGCTGCTCGGTAAAGAAAGCTTTTGGCATCCTGGTGGCTGTTCTCATAAATGCAAAGACTTAGAATTCTGATAAAAATTCTGACCACTTATGCCATCATCCCTTTGGATGATAAGACTAACACAAGGAATGTGCCCTGGTGTCCCAAAACACTTGTTGGAAGGACAGAGGACACATGGAAATGTCAGTGTCAGAACTTAACTAAGTGATTAAGGCTATAGATAAGTCAGCAGCAAACGCTAGAGATGGGCTAAATCTTCTTGTGGAAATTACTCAATAATTCAAGAAGAATATTGAAGAATTTATAATTGGAAATCAGCTTCTTTGCACAGATGTGTTCATCTGGAATTACACCTGGGTTGGGCTGAGGGTGGATACCTGGTGTTTTCAATGCCTTCTGTACATGACACCGTCCATGGTTCTGAAGATGTGTGGGTGACATCTGAAAAGTCATGGGGGAGGATGAACTTTTGGGACGGGGTCTTGAGTTCCCAGTCTTCTGTCAGATTCTTCACCCACTCCGTCTTTGATGCTTACTTCAAAG